GGGGCACAGACAAATTTAATTCTGGAACAATCAAAATCTTCTCATCTCCCCAATTACTCCACCCCACCCCACCCCTAAGGGAATAAATAATGACCGGTCCCTTAGCAACCAAGCCACTGCAGTACAACATACTTAGACACCACAATATGCGATACAAACCTACATTGTTGTAGAGTGTTCGAGTAATCATCATGATAATAATGATAGTAGTTGTATATCAACCGGTTCTGGCGGATTTCTTTTTAATCAGAAATTTTGCCCAAATTTTGACTGAGATTTTTTCTGATTAAAAAATGATTTAAAGAAATAGAAAAAAATATTTAATTAAAAATGATTTAAAGAAATAAAAAAAAATATATTTAATTAAAAATGATTTAAAGAAATAAAAAAAAATATTTAATTAAAAATGATTTAAAGAAATAAAAAAAAAATATTATTTCTTTAGAAATGATTTAAAGAAATAAAAAAATTAGTTAAATAAAAAAAAATTTACTTTGATAAATATGACAGAATTGAACACAAAAACAGTGATTCAGTTAAAAGCATATGCAAAACACAACGGAATTATTGGTTATTCACGTATGAGAAAAGCAGAGCTCATTAGGAACATCAATAAACTCAATAAAAGAGACCAGAACCATTGGTCACTTGATGAGGGTAAAAAAAAATATTTAAATATGGCAGAATTGAACTCACTAACATTGGTTGAGTTGAAGGCATTCGCAAAACACAACGGAATTATTGGTTATTCACGTATGAGAAAAGCAGAGCTCATTAGAAAAATCAATAGAGTCAAACACCATTGGACACTTGTTGAGAGCAAGTCTGCATTAAATGATTTTGCAAAAATGTATACTATTGATGGAGCCGGAGGTTATGGACCGATAGATTTTCTTCAGGCTGTAAAATCGACCGTTATCAAGTTTTTATTAACGCAGAACAATATAAAGATGGTGCTCGTTTTGAGGTGTAATATGTTAAAGACAAACATTGAGACGGGCGAGGCTGTGCTAAATCCTGCATATTTTTTATCTCACGTAAATATTCTCTTTCAAGATACCGATCGAGAAGAGATTTATCAGAAATGTGTTGACAAAATGATGGAGAGTTTAGCAAAGTTTACAAAAGAGGGAAGTGGTTGGACTGTAGATTCGATTGCGGGGTTGGATTTGCACACGACAAAATACAATCCTTTGCAAGGTTCAAGCTATATCAAGCTGTCACCAGATCTCGCAAAAAAGAAGGCCATTGTAAACATGAAGAATAAAGACAATGAGTGTTTCAAATGGTGTGTTACGAGAGCGTTAAATCCTGTGAAAAAAGACCAAGAGTGTATCACAAAGATTTTGAAAAAGCAGGCAGAAAAATTGAAATGGGATGGGATTAAGTTTCCGATGGAGGTGAAAGATATTCACCGCTTTGAAAAGTTGAATCCGGGTATTGCTATCAACGTCTTTATGTATGAAGGTGAAATCTATCCCTTGAGAGTGAGCAATGTCGATAGCAACAAGCCCCGCATCCGCCTTCTTCTCATCTCTGATGGTAAGAAAACACATTACTGTCTCATCAAATCTATGAGTCGACTCTTATCGAGTCAATTGTCAAAAAATGAACATAAAAAGTTTATCTGTGATAGATGTCTAAATTATTTCGGTTCTCAGAAACTGCTTGACATACACGATGAGTTGTGTCGAGAGCATGAGGCTGTGAGAGAAAAGATGCCACCTCTTGATACTTTTCTCTTCTTCAAAAACTACCACAGAAAGATAGATGTGCCGTTTGTCATCTATGCCGACTTTGAATCGATCATCAAACCTCTGCACACCGTTCAACCGAATCCTAAAAAGTGTTACACCGAAAAGAAGCAGAAACATATTCCGGTGAGTTTTTGTTACTACATCAAATGTTCATTTGATGATAAACACTCAAAAAAGGTTGAGTACATTGCAAAGTCTGAGGATGAAGATGTTGCACAGATATTTGTCAACATGCTTGAAGAGGAGGTTAAGTCCATTTACAAAAATCATCCCAAAAAAGAGATGATCTTCACAGACAGTGATGTTGAAATCTTTGAAAATGCAACGTGTTGTTGGTTGTGCAAAGGGGCTTTCAATGATGAACATGAAAAATATAAGAAGGTTCGTGATCATTGCCATTACACCGGCAAATTTCGAGGTGCTGCACATAACAAATGCAACCTGTTAGCCCGACGACCAAAATTCATTCCCGTTGTCTTTCACAACTTGGCAAACTATGACGCTCATCTCTTTGTCCGAAACCTCGGAGTTACAGAGGGTGACATTGATTGTATACCAAACAATGAAGAAAAATATATCAGCTTCACAAAACACATTGTGGTTGATACATTTTTCGACAAAAAGAAGAAAAAAGACGTTGATGTAAAGAGAGAGTTGAGTTTCATAGATAGCATTAAATTTATGCCTGGCAAGCTTGAGGATCATGTCAAGAACCTTGCCAAAAATGGTGAGTCTTTTTTTCAAAATACAGGAAAATACCATACCGGTGAGAAGCTTAAACTGTTGATGAGAAAGGGTGAATTTCCTTACGAATGGATGGATTCTATATACAAGCTTGATAAAACTGCGCTTCCACCAAATGAATCATGGTTCTCTTCGTTAAGTGGAGATGGAATCACTGAAGAAGGCTCTTGTCATTCACATAAAGTATGGAAAACCTTTGGAATGAAAACGTTTAGAGATTACCTCAAACTTTACAATCAAAGTGATGTTCTTTTGCTCGCCGATGTGTTTGAAAACTTTAGGAAGGTTTGCAAAGAGAACTACGGCCTTGATCCCTGTTGGTACTACACTGCACCGGGGCTGGCTTGGGACGCTTGCCTCAAACTGACTAAAATAAGGCTTGAGTTGTTGAGTGATGTTAACATGTTGCATATGTTTGAGAAAGGTATTCGTGGTGGGATCTCAATGATTCCAACACGATACTCAAAAGCCAACAACAAATACATGGGAGAAAAGTTTGACCCCGCTCAACCTTCAAAGTTTATCACGTATCTCGATGCAAACAACCTTTACGGTTGGGCGATGAGTAAAAATCTACCAACACATGGTTTTGAATGGGTAGATGAAAAAGATTTTGGGAAGTGGAAAAATTTTCCCTGCATTCTTGAGGTTGATTTACTCCCCATTGAGAAAGATTTATACGACTACTTTGACCACTACCCTCTCGCTCCTCAGAACTTGTTGGTTAATAAAGTAAAAAAGCTGGTCTGTACCTTGAATGAAAAGAAGAAGTACATCATTCACCATGAGACTCTGAAGCTTTACATGAGTCTTGGAATGAAGATTGGAAAGATTCACCGCGTCATCAGGTTTGAAGAGAGTCCTTGGATGAAACCATACATTGATCTCAACACATCTTTGAGAGCCAAGGCCGACAACGATTTCGAAAAGGACTTTTTCAAACGCATGAACAATTCTGTATATGGCAAGACGATGGAGAACATTCGGAAACGAGTCGATATAAGACTTGTCAACTCAGAAGATAAGGCGAAGAAGTTGGTAAATAAAGTGAACTTCAAACATTGTACCATATTCTCCGAGAATCTCTGTGCAATACATATGAGAAAGACAATAATCACCTTCAACAAACCTGTCTATCTCGGAATGTGCATTCTCGATCTCAGCAAGAATCTGATGTACGACTTTCACTACAATTACATCAAAACCAAGTACGGAGACAGAGTGAAGCTTCTCATGACCGACACAGACAGTCTCTGCTATGAGGTTCAGACTGATGATTTTTACCAAGATGTAAAAGATGATGTGAATCGTCTGTTTGACACGAGCAACTTTCCGAAAGATCATCCTTCTGGCTTGCCGACCGGTGTAAACAAGAAAGTTATTGGAATGTTCAAGGATGAAGCTGGAGGAAAGATCATTGAAGAGTTTGTAGGTCTGAGAGCGAAGCTTTACTGCTACAAGATGTTTGATGATGGAAAAGAAGAAAAAAAATGTAAGGGAGTGAAGAAAAAAGTGGTGGAGAACACTATAAAAATGGAAAACTATAAAGCGTGTCTGTTTTATGGAGAAAAACAACACCGGAAGATGATCACGTTACGTAGTCGAAAGCATGACATCTTTACGGAAGAAATTAACAAACTCGCCTTGTCCGCAAACGATGACAAGCGAATCATTCTTTCAAACATAGTGGACACACATTCATGCAGTCGAACTGATGAATGAATGAAAAATTAATAAATTTAACTTGAGTAATTTATAACCCGCCAGGATTATAGATTGATTACTTATTCAAATCTAATTATGTATTTCACACCATCAATATCTATTGCTTTCTTCATCTCTTCTTTTTTCCCAAGAATTTTCATGCCAAGTTTTCCAGGGTTTATGTTAAAATGTTTTGCAGCAGCATACATTGAGGGAAAAACAAATTCTTCTTCAGAGTCTCTAACAAGTATTACTTTTCTCTTCGCGGCTATTTTTTTTATATTGGGAGGGTTTCTTATGTATTCAATCAATTCTTTTTTCTTTAGTCTATAACGACCTGCCAAACCGATCTCTTTCGCTCTTTCCAACAGTGCAGGTCTTGGAAGTGAATCAAGATCGTCTTGATCAGGTATTGAAACTGAATCTATCTTTGGCGGGTTTTTGATCAACTCTATTAGTTGTTCTTTATTGAGATTGTGAAATCTTCTCAGACCCATATTCTTTGCTTGTTTGGTAAGTGCAATTTTTGTTAAATCGTTAAGATCATTCATTTAAATAATTTTTTTATTTCTTTAAATCATTTCAACATCGCTGGGGAGCTCGAGGGGGTATGCCCTCTCGAATCATACTCCCTGAAGATCTTTCACATCAATCCATGAGTTGAATTTTTCTGGATAAGCACTCCACTTTACAAGAGCTTTTCCTTTACTCCTTCGAATAACCTTCTCAATGCGGAAAACACCAGAAAGGCTTTGCATTGCTCTCAACATCTCCTGTTCGTAAAAAGAACCTTTGATCTCTTCTCCGAGCAGATCCTTCAACTTGTAAGTGATCGGGTTGGAATATTGAATCTTGTCAACGACGAAAATTTCTTCCGTCCAATTTGGGGTAAAACCTTTATCGAACACTTTTCGCTTGAATTTGGAAATTCGAACGTGATCACCGACTGCAAACTTTGGAGGGCGCACGAGGGTTAGCTCCTTCGAATAGAGTTTCAGAAAGACAGCGTTCTCATTCTTTTTCTTTGAAGCCTCTGTCGGTGTCATACCGATCGATCTATGTTTTCGATTGTTATACTTTTCGACGATCTTTGGCAGAATATCGAGATACTGTGTATTGTTCTGAATGGTAAATTGCTTCCACATATCGGTTTTGATCGTTCGATTCCACCTCTCACAGACAGATGATTTCTCCTCATTCTCTGTCGAATACATCTCAACACCTTTAGTTTTCATCAAATCTTTAACATGACTGTTGTAATACTCCGATCCTTTATCAACCCAAAGCCTCTTCGGTACTCGCTCCTCGGTAAATATCTTTTCGAAACCCTCCGCTACACTCTCACCTTTTTTATTCTTCAACGGAACGATCCAACCGTATTTGCTGAAAACATCCAAAACCATCAACAGATAACGGTAACCCTTATTCCACTTTGCAAACTTTTGCATCTCCACCAAATCGGAGCACCAAATCTCATCGATTCCGTTGACAATAACGCGTCGTTTTCTAAAGTTTCGTCTCACCGGTTTGTGTAACTCGTCTGCCAATTCTTCTTGCCACCCTGCGAGAGGTTTTCCCCTCGCGCTCCCCTTCAATTTTTCGTCTTTTTTTTTCCTACACCCAAACCGAGCTTCTGCTTTGTGTTGATAATGTTTCTGGCGGCCCAATGACCCCACTGCCTTTCATCAGCCGGAATCGCATCGAGAGCTTTAACCATCTTGCGGTCGGCAACGTTTTTGCACTTCTTTGGATTCTTCTTGTTTGCACAGACGCTGTAATCAACATCGTGTTGCATGGCGACAGCGTCTGTCGGGCCTGTCGGTTTATCAAAAATCTCGAGAATCTTACCTGTATTTGGATCGTATCGAACCTGTTGCTCAAGATTGTTGTACGGCCCCGTGTATTTATGACCTGGAAGAGTCCAACCGGATTTCGGTTTCGGTAGTTTTCCAATGGCTTTGTGAATATCAAAGGACCCGCCTTCGTAAAGAGGGTGCGTCGGATCATTAACACCATCGGGGGCATACATTGACATCGGTAACACTTGATTAACATCGAAAGACCCCCCACTTATCTTTTTACTCAAATCATTGGTAAAACTGTCAATGACCTGATTAACATATTTATCGGCCGTCTTTTTGAACTTGGTCTTTGCAAAATCCGATTTGACAGCTCTCGCAACACCTTGTTGAGCCACGTTTGCCAATCCTTTCAACGCCATCTCACCCAAAGAATAGCTGTTTCCTACATCAAACAATGAACCGCCGTTGTTTTTTTTACCTGCGGCAAAAGACACTTTTGTGATACCACACTCTACACATGTTGATTTGATCATCGGTCGACCGTTTTTCGCAACCTCATGCCTCTCACTTCCAGGCACGGACTCAGTCTTTTTTCTCTGTTTGACACAATAAGTTTTCATTTTATAATGTGTAAACATTATAAAAAAATTTTCAAAAAAAGGGGAGCTCGAGGGGGTTTACCCTCTCGAATTTAGTCTTCACTCGAGGGGCTGGCCTCTCGAATTTCTTCAATAAAATTTTTGCGGCATGTTTTTTTCACGTTGTCGATAAAAAGAAAGTCGAATGGTTTAAGTCTTGAGAACAAATCTTCATCAAAACTGTTATCATCAGCGATAATTCTGCGATGACGCTTTTGTACAGGCGCGTACACAATCAAATGAGAGCAGTTTAATCTGATGGTGGCAGGAGTCCTGTAATAAGATTGACTCAAATAAATCGGTGAAATCAAATGATGTCTGCCGTCAATAAAGTGATTCAAGATTTTTTCTTGCACGTTTTTAGGAGCGGCGAGAAGATCGTCAAAAATCACAACTTTTCTGTTTCCTTCTGGATACTCAGCCGTGTCAAGAATCTCATCAGGGTTCATTATGTGTAAAATATCACATCCAAATTTCTGTGAGAGTCGTTGCATAATCTTTTGCAAATCTTGATACATCTCTTGATGAGGATTTTTTGTGTAAAGGTAAATCTGATCGTAAATGACCAACGGCTTTCTCAAAATATTCATGAGTATGTTTGTCTTTCCACTTCCACTGGGACCCGCTATCAACATTCTGTACTCTTCATCAAGAAAGTCAACGCCGGGTACTCTTCTCTTTCGATTTTCGTTTGAACGGTGTGTTGTGAAATTTATAATATCAACCATTTTGCTTTAATTTATTTCTTGTAAATATTTTTTAAAATCTTGTCACCTAATCAAATGTTATGCAAAAGCAAAAGTGACACTTATCTTTGGAGATAAGTGTTATGAATGCAAAAGCGAAAGTCACACTTATCTTTGGAGATAAGTGTTATGAATGCAAAAAGCAAAAGTGAAACTTATCTTTGGAGATAAGTTTCACAGTCTCTGGCCCCTCGAAACACAATGCTACGCGTGAGACTCCGCAAGTCACGCAAGGACCGCAAGGACCGCAAAGCAATATTGGTGAACAGCTCGCGAAAGAATTGCAGAAAGAAATGGGGAAAGAAATGGGGAAAGATACTCGAGGGTCACAAGGACCGCAAGGGTCAAAAAATAAAAAAGTTAAAAAAGACGATCTCTTTGACGATTTTGCTGAACTTTTTTTGTAAACTTTTTTTGTAAACTTTTTTTGTAAACTTTTTTTTTGTAAAAAAATTTTATCTTGTCTTTTAAAAAAAAATACACAATGTCATCTATGCGAACAAAAAAATTTGCAAAGGGGTATGAATATTCTTCATATGATCTCGATACTCCTCTCCAATCTGCACCGGCAAATAACAATTATCAGCAGAAGAAAGGGTATAAATTTACCGTTGACACAAAAACAGCGTCAGAGGCTGTAGCTGACTGGTACAATGCATATTTTGAGATCGATTTCAAAATTACAAAGATGGACAACACAACCTATGGTGCTGCCGACGCGGCCGCAATAATCAATGGTGGTTTCAGTATGATAAAAGACATCAAAGTTGATTTTGAGAAGGTGAGAGTTCTTGATTTGCCAAGTGCAAATCACGCTGCAAATATGAAAAATCTCACCGAATTTTCAAAAGAACATTCAGATCAAGTGGGGCCTCCCCAATTTCACTATCTCGACACTGCCAGCGGAGCAGTCATACGAAAGTATACAACACTCGCTCTTGATGGGAATGCGCAAAACGTGACACCAACAGACAACGCTGATTACAATGAAGGGTTTACAAAAAGAAAGACTCTTCTCACCACAGTTGCTGAAAACAACATTCATTTGCCACTCAACCGTTTCGGTTTCTTTGACTCTCTGGAAGAGCAGATACCTCCCAATGCAAAGGTTACTTTCGATGTAACTCTTGAAGAAGATAATGAGGTGCTGTTCAGATCAAATGCGGCTGCGGCAGGCAGATACATCGTGACAAAATTCCGCTTGTGGCTGCCGATGATCAATCTGAATGACGTTGGACAAAAGTTCTATTATGATAATTTCCTTAAATCTCATACATGGAGTTATCAGAGAGAGCAAATCAGTGTTTCAGGACCACTTAGACAAAAAAATGGAAAATTCAATATCACAAGTGCTGTTGATAGTCCAAGGCATGTCTTTGTTTGGGTTCTGAATGCCGCCAAGTTCGACGATCAGGAACAAAACATGTTCGTGTTCAACACTTACAACATCGCAAACGCGAGGTATTTTACAAAAGCACAACTTCGCGTCGAAAACGGAACAAGATATCCCGATCAAGAACTGGACCCCAGCAGTGAGCTGGCTAGAGCATGGAAATACTTTGCGAGTTATTCAAAACTTGCAAGCCACAACTTGCTCGGTCCAGCAATCACTATGAAACAGTTTCAAGATCTCTATGGGATACTTTACTTTGATTTGACAAAACAACCACCAGAGATCATGAAAGCTGCAACACGATTAGATTTCGAATACAACCTCAACAACACAACCAACGCTGATTATCACATCTATGCAATGGTTCTCAATGAGGAGGAAATCAGTGTAGATGTCACGAGTGGAAAAGCACTCATCAGGAATTAATGCGAGAGGCTAG